AAAAAAAAAAAAAAAAAAAAAAACAACAGAGAGGTCTGATTTATAGAATAGGCCCGATCAGATCAGCTGGAGATCCCCTCTTGTCTAACCTCATAGGGGACATGCATCACAATAAATCAGACGAAAAAGACTAATCTGCAGCAATGGAGATGTCGAGGGGTGCAGACGGTCGCCGAGCCAGACGCGGGGCAGTATGTGATCACATGCGGTAAGACCAGTCAAGATCCCCTTGAAAGGAATGCCCTTGCTGTTCGCGTGTCCCCCCCAGATTCAGCACAGCAAAGAAATGCAATAGCGGCAGCAAATCTGGGCCCGAAGGGTCCTGTCCCGTTGGGCCTGGTCCCATTGGTCCCAAAAGGTCCCAAGTAGGTCGTGGACCAGGTGTAACGAGACAGGGGTACCAAGCCAGTCCCAAACTGTCTCTAGCGTACTGAAAAGGAAAAGACAACTTTCAGCAAGAACTTACCCCTACTACCAATCAGAAATGAAAAGACATTGCACCGTAGAAAGATATGTCATTTAGAGCAGATACATCATCCATCCATCCATCAGGTGAGAAAGCAATCCGCAAGCTCTCACACACAACCAAGACCGCAGAGAAGAGGAAGAGAACCCAACACACCCCCAACAGGCCATGAAGCACCAGGCAACCTCCCACGGGCTTACCCAGGTCACACTGCACTTACCTGTGAGGCCCGGCCTCCAAAGATGGATAACGAGTCACTCCCCTCTCATATAAGTCCTCCTGACCCCTAGCTACCACTACACGAAGTGTCCTATCATGACTAAGAGGGCCTCCCTACACCCCTGTTGCAAAGCCGGATCCCCCGTCGATGCCTGAAAACCAAAGTAGCAACTTGCAGCAATCTGATGCAGATATGGCAGCCTCCGATCAAGTCTCCCTCTTGAGGGGAAGCCCAAAAGTCACTCAATGTCTTCCTGAAGTCCAGATTCCAGGTGCGAGTACCTCTCACTCTCTACTCCCTCTCGCTTACTCCAAACAGCCTCCTTTGTGTCTCGCCACCCCATACATTCACTCAAGCAACCTGGTTGGGTCCAATGTCGACCCTACATGACCTAACCAGGTGGGGGCAGCATCCCCATACCTCGCTGCCCCACTTAACCCTAACCTCACAACCCTAATCCGAGATTAGGTCAGCCCTAACCTAATTCGGAATTAGGGTTAGGGTGACTAACACCTCTCGCCAACAAGTAAGTCCGCGCCGATACCAATTGTTACGATCCTGGTCATTTCCCAAGTGCAAATTCACAATGAAAGACAATGCCACCCAATTGCAAAAGAAATGAAAGCACTTGCAAAGAGATAGAGACCGGAGGAGTTAGAAAGAAGAAGAAGAAGAAGAAGAAGAAGAAGATGAAGAAGAAGAAGAAGTACACCAGCAAGACCAATGACAATTCCCCCTTCTCTCTCCACCTTCCTCCTCCTCCTTCACTTCACCAATCTTATT